GCTGGTAAACATCCTACAATCTACACACGCTCCCTCCCACCCACCCACCCAACAAAGAATTATCTGGCCCCAAATGTCAGTAGTGCTGAAGTTGAAAAACCTGACCTAGGGTGTCCTAACCCTCCAGCTGACACTTCCTGGGCGTGTGTGGAGTGCAGGGGTGTTACTGGACTGCCCCTTCTCTGTTCGTGGTAGCATTCTCCTTGCTTTTAGAAGGGATCATGTACCTAGACCCCATAAGGGGATCAGGGACACTTTGTCCTGCAGGCAACCAGACCCCTTCCTGTGGGCAGAACAGCTTCTGACTTTTCTCTCTTGGGCTTTACACACCTTCAGAAGGTCTAATGAGCGGGGGTGCCCCCGGTGGGTTCCCCCTCTTAGACGTTGCCTGGTATCCATTGAGCAGGGTTCTCAGGCCGGGGCGACGGCACGGGGAGCCTCTCCTGTTCCCCCCTCAACAGAGCCCTGCGCTGAGGGTTAAAGTGAGGGAGGAGAGATGTCAGCCTGGGCCCTGGGACCTCATGGTCGAGTTGGACAGTCAGGATGCTCACATAGAGGCACACCCTTAGTCACTGCGTGGCTCCAGGTATATTTAAGAGCCAGAGGGACTTCAGAGCCAGGCTGAAGCTTTGAGATGGAAGAGTGAGAATGAGCAGGGGACTCCCTGATTCTTCAGCAGATGGATGGGATTCAGGTAGGCATCAAGCAGAGCGTGGCAGGCCAAGGGCTCGTGCCCAGCAGTCAGTGCAGCACAGAGAAGCAGCTGGAAGTGGTTGGCCCAGGGCGCAGGGCAGTCCTGGTCCAGAGGCTGTGGCATCGGTGTGAGTGGGAATTCCGAGGGCCCGGCCAAGGGCTGAGAGTATGGACCTGGAGATGCTGCAGAGGCGTGCTGTAGGAGGGCACAGCGCCAGGGCCACTGGGCTGGGGCAAGAAGAGGGCAAGGAGGCCCCAGGAAATGAAAGGCTGGGATCCATTTCCAGTGTAAGGAGAAGCTGCCATTTACTCTTCTGAGAAAGAGAACCAGCCCCTCGCAGGATGGCAGTTTTGCTTTGAGGAGCCCCATATGGAGACTACACAGACAACTGGGACAAATCCAGATTTTCTTTCAGATGGGTTTGTGTCCCAGCCACCCCAGCAGCCGGCATGTAGATAAGTGTGGAAAATGGTTTCTGTGATAAGAGGCAGGGCTCCAGGCTCAGTCTGCGGACGATCCTGGTGTGTCCACTGCGCTGACATGGGGCCCTATTGGGAGCCCACTCGGCTGCTGCAGGCTTGGAAGCTGCTGCTCCACAGGCTGGGAGTTTGCCCCCAGGGCTGTGCAGAGCCAAAACCTGAAAGCCCTTTTAGGGGCAGGGATTAATGGTGGTTACTGTAGGAACCTTGCAAGAGAGGCTGAGAGGTGACTTTGCGGGAGGTGTGGACTGCCCCACAGTAGGCACACTGCAGTGGCTGTCCCAGGTTCATCCAGGTACTGGGTGGCCCCTGGTCCTCTTCAGGTTTGGCCCAGCCCCCGCTTGAAGACTCCTTCCATCCAGTCAAGGCCAAGCAGGCGGGGCAGGGCCTCTATGAGCTTAAAAAAAAAAAAAAAGAAATCAATGGCCCTTTACACACACAGTGTGGCAAGGCTGACGGAATCTCCTCCGCACACCTGAGCATCTTGTTCTGGTGGGTGCTGCCAGTTTTATACGATAAAAGGCACCGGGTGGGGAGACTATTAATCCCTCTGAAATGTGGGGAAATGGTTTTCCAGAGCATCCATGGGACCCCATCGAGGGAGCAGGGAGCATGGGGCTTGGGGCACCTACTGACCCAGTAGCCCGCCCTGTGTCCACAGACCTGCAGCCAGTTACCTACTGCGAGCCGGCCTTCTGGTGCTCCATCTCCTACTACGAGCTGAACCAGCGCGTCGGGGAGACGTTCCACGCCTCGCAGCCATCCATGACTGTGGACGGCTTCACCGACCCCTCCAATTCGGAGCGCTTCTGCCTAGGGCTGCTCTCCAACGTCAACAGGAATGCAGCAGTGGAGCTGACGCGGAGACACATCGGTATGGGGTGGCTCCATTCCCCGCCCCCACCCTGCCCCTGCCACTCTATCGCGCCCCCAGCCCCAGGCCCGAACACACAACCTCTGCAGGGAACCTTGCCTCCATCCTTAGCTGTGCTCTGCCTCCTGCTGGGCACGGGGGAAGACTCACCGCCCCAGCAAGGCCCCCACATTCACTGTTGCCCTGTTTAGGGGCCGGACAGGTAGTGTTCAGGCCACTTAATCATTCCCACTCAAAGATACAATCTCAGAAAATCTGGAAGCCACAGAGGAAAATACTTAAGGGATCGAGAAGGGAATGTCTATGAGAAAGGCAACATATGAAATCTTTTTTTTTTTTTTTTGAGACAGAGTTTCACTCTATCCAGGCTGGAGTGCAATGGCACAATCTCAGCTCACTGCAACCTCTGCCTCCCGGGTTCAAGCGATTCTCCTGCCTCAGCCTCTCAAGTAGCTGGGATTACAGGCACCCAATCACCACGCCCGGCTAATTTTTTTTTTTTTTTTGGAGACGGAGTCTCGCGCTGTATCACCCAGGCTGGAGTGCAGTGG